CGCACATCGCCGAGGTGTTGACCTCCATCGAATGGCACTGCGAAGTCCTGCGCACACCATGGCGCAGAACCACCGCTGGCGAGGTAGCAATTGTCGAGGAGGCGACCCCCCTCTCGAACGCTATACTCGACATTCCCGGCTCCGCCATCCCCTGGGCCATCACTAGAATCGAGGTTCACGCCTCTGCCAGATCTGACCCCCAAAAAACCGACGAGTACAATCGTCTCGCTGGAGACCATCGCTCCTGAGAAACCTGCGGTGGGATCGCCCACGAGAAGAGCAGGGCCAAACACCTCGCCGCCCCTGCAGGCCAGAGCGATCACCAGGTCGTACCTCCAAGCGCTGCTGGCACCGCCACCGAATACAAGAACGCCACTGCCGCCGAGCACCCCACCGCCGGGGAAACAGCACCGTAACAACAGCGCACAGGGCTCTCGCAAACGAGGACGCAGCATCAAGAAGGAAACCATCACACCACTGATAGACACACTAAACAAATAATGCTGCCGACTGCGACCTGGCGGGCGGCGCCGACCGAATTGAAGGCACCGACGCCCCACCCTTGGTCACCAACGAGCAACACGCGACAACGGGCTAAGACGAATTCTCCGACGAAGAATAAACCACAACCTGGCGTCCAACGCATCACCGACCAAGCCGGCGCGACGTTCAGAGAATTGGGGGCTGACCAGCAGCAGCCTGCCGGAAGCGCCATGCGGCTCGAAACAACCGTCACCAGTGTAGCCACCAGTCAGGTCACTCCCGCGCAGCAGTGCCACCAGCTCGAACAAGTGATGCACGTGGCCCGACCCGAGCTCACCCGCAAGAACACAGACCGGAGGGCTTCATGAGCCAAATGGCATCCCTCGCCTCGCTCGCCCGAGCCCAGACCGCTGACACAGGCTGTTCAGAAACCGCCTGACAGGTGCTGGGCCCCAGTGGGCTCGCCAGCATGCCCGCCCTTCTTGGGGAGCCCACAAAGGACGTACGCGCCCAGCTATGTACATGAACACGGCCCCTCGATCCGCGAGACCTGCCGCGTGATGCGAACATTCGCGCAACGCGCACTCTCGAAACCAGCGTGGATTCCTGTACGTGCACGTCCTTTCTGTTCGCTCCTGACTCCTGGCACCTCCAGGAACAAGGGGCACAGGAAGCAACGACTGCGTGCCCGAACAAGCCGGCAGCCTGCGCCCCAGACAAAGCACCCCCGCTGGCACCGCACACTCTGGGGGCCCCGAGGGGCCCCCGCCAGCCTCAGAGAGGCTTCGCGCGTCGAGGGGCTTCGAATCCGCATCGCCTCCTGCAGGGACGTGCGCCTTGGGATAGCTACAGCCATGGGCTCGCTGTATGTTTCTTTCTTCTCGTTTCCGTACAGCCAGAAACCCTACTAAGGACGCGCGGTAAGGACGCAAGACCCTTGGAAGCCGAAGTTGGGATTTTTGGGGCGGCGGACGACGAAAGCCTCAAGGACGCAAGAGCAAGGAAGAGCAAGGACGCAAGGGTACCCTGAGCAAAGTCGCGCGTCCTTATTAGGGTTTTTGACTGTAGCTACAGCCAAGGGCTCGCTGTGCAATTCTTTCTTCTCGTTTCCGTAGCTCGGGGGGTGACCGCAGCTTGCGCTTGCCTGCGCCTGCTTGCGCTTGTGTCGCCTGCGTCCGCCGTATTTGGCTCAGCGACGCCCGCCTGGCCCGCCTCGCGCCAACGCCCGCCCGCTTCGGCTCGGACTCTTTTTGGGTCTCGGCCCCACTAGAGCTCTGGCGAACGCCCAAGCCATGATCGGCGCCGTGCCTCTCAGCGGTCAAGGGATAGGGGCACCACTCCCGACCCGCAAGCAGGTACCCCACAGCGGAGCAGCGGGCGGCACGCCAACGTTTGCCCCCTCTCCTTTCCCGCGGACCACGTGCACAGCTGGCACCCGAACCGTCGCCCGATCTCCGTGGGCCGCTGCGGAGAACGCCCCAGAGCGGCGCCTCTCGAGTCCCGTGGACGCCGAGGTGCACCCAAGCGTGCGAAAAGCCGGCGCCCCCTCCGTCGTCACGGGGGCGTTCAATCACCGCCACCCGCCCTGTCCTCCAGAAGGAATCCTTGCGACAGCAAGCCCACCACCCCTGTCGCACACGCGGCGCCTCCCGCCAATGCAGAGACGGTCCGCCGGGCGTTCTCAAACCGAAGGCCAGGACAGACTTACGGCCCGAATCGTTGCGATCATTTTGCTTTCTATATCTCTCTCTCTCTCTTTTTTCTGTCTCTCGCCTTCTCTCTATATCTCTCTCGCCCTCTACACATCGTCTCGTAATGTACGGCAGTGTAGAAGAAGAGAGACAGAGAAAGAGGGAGACAGACAGACAGAGATGGAGAAAGAGAGGAAAGCAAAGAGAGAGAAAAAGAGAGAGAGAGAGAGACACGCACATACATACACACACAAACGTGCGCGCACATCGTGGCAAAAACGCACGCACACACAACCCCTCTGGCGCGCCGATGGGTTGCAAGCCACGGCTCAGGCACTGTAAAGGCGACCCACGCTCGAAGTATATTGAACTCCTTATGTGGGAGTGAAGCCGAAACTGTAGGCCCCACGTCAAACCGTACGCTGCCGACCGCTGGGCAGAAACAGCCAGGCGCGCGCAGGGTGGCAAAGAGACCAGCGCAAAAACGAGAGGCCAGAAACGCGAGCTGGGGAAACTGGCGGAGAAAACCGAAGAAACTGGACAGCGAGCAGAATCAGGCGCTTAATCAACAAAAAACCCTGGCCGGCGAGCGTCATAGCGAAAGTGAGAATAAGAGCGAACCGAAAGCCCACCAAATGTTGCCACAAGCGGCAACACAAGCCAACGAGCACGCGCGGTCGGCACGAATAATGTAGACAGGCACGGGAGAGGGAGGGAAGAGAGACAAAGCAATGGCACAGGACAGGTGGCCAAATACCCCGGCGACACCTGGGCGCATGCAAATGGAACCATTGCTGTGATCGAGACACCTCCGTGGAAACTACGCGCGATGAAAAGCGCCAAAGATGCGATGTCCGAAAACCTGCTGGGTGGAATGGGAGCCTGGTGATCCGAATGGGAACGGAAGCCATGCAGAAGATGTGCCCCGCAAACCACCTGCAACACGCACGCACAGTCCGTCCACAGGGAAGACTCCACGACTCAGGAAACAAACATGACAGTTTCACGTTGTCGGTGCGTGCGCTGGGCTCGGGCTGGGCGAAAGGGGGGATAGCCAAGGGGGGATTCGAGAATCAGCTCACGTAGCTGATTTTTCCGGCGCCTCCAGGCGCCGGAGGCGGCCATGTATCGAGGAATGGGCCCCTCGGTGGGGCCGAAACCAGCCACATACAGCAAACTTCGTGACCCCCCCTTTCCCTGTCCCCCTTTTTCGTCTGGCCCGAGGGGCTCTTCCTCGCCCTCCGAAGCGATCCTGCGTGTCTCCGACGACGCGGTGAGAAGGCGCTGCCGCGTGATCCAACTGGATGGAGACGGACAGCCAGCAGCTGCGCAGGGGCGCCCAGGTCCAAACAGTGCAAACTGTTTGGGCGCCGCGGCCCTGCGGGAAGCGGCGGCTGCGACTCTGCTCTCAGAGCGGAGGGCTCAGGGTGAAATCCATGTGGGCTTTTCTGCACCTCGAAGAGCAATCCGTCTTGTGATTCACCCTCGTGCAGATTCAGGCCTCGAAAACCCATCGAGACGGCATTTCAGATCTCACCCTTTGCCCTCCACCAAAGAAACTGCCCGGGACAGGGCGTAGCAGGTCGGAAAAAAAAACATCAAATGACGGGCTCAAGCCCACCTGAGCACTCATAGACCACTCAGGGTCTCGCGGCCGCCGGCAGCCACAACCATCCGGGCACGCACAGCTTGGGGGAGCGGTGGGGGGACGAGGCCACGGCGAGATTTGGCAGGCGCCAGAAGAGGCCAGGCAGGACTCGAAGGAGAGGGAGGGGCGAGAAAACAGAACGGAGCGGCACGGAAGCCAAGGCCGACCTGGAATATACACTTGTTTAGCATTAGGTCGGGCATGTCCCCCATACAGGCGGATGGTGGACGAAAAATCAAACATTGTCAAACAAACATGCCAGAATTGTCAAACACAATCGGAATGTCGTCCCCAGACTATTCTTCACTATTTTTGAATGAATTCCTCCTGTAGAGGGACATGATCGACTAAAGCTTAGCGTCGCGGCCCCGCGCGCAGCGACAGGGCGTCCAAAATCACAGAAGAGAACGCGCGCGCGTCTAGAATCTAGAGGCCGAGCCCTCAAGCCGCTCGCAAAAAATTGATGTCTACACAGATACGAAGATCGGGGGTGAAATTTGCGCAACCATGAACCCACAATGAACCACTGTGAGCCTCAGGATAGAAAGAAGAGGAAGGGGAAGGAGAAGAGAGAAAAAGGAGGAAGGATAAAGTCTGCACGAGCAGAGGCAGAAATCAGGAGAGACCATGAAGGATGAGGGATGAGCTGGAGGAAGCATGGGTGGGAGGAGCAAGGATGGGCCGAAGGAGGGGAAAAACTAAGGCAGGAGAACGGAGGGAGGACGAAGGAACGGCCCGAGTGACACACAATTCGGCCGCAGGAGCGAGGAGGGAGAACGCGTGAGGACGGAAGAGGGCGGGAGGAGGAGGGACGGGTAGGGCGACAAGAGGAGCGGGAGGAGGACCGAGGAGGGAGAAGCACCGAGGAGGGAGGAGTACCGAGGAGGGAGAACGCGGGAGGAGGAGGGACGGGTGGGGCGACGAGGTGACCAGGGAGGCATACGCACCGCTCCTGTGCCCACGGTTGTGGACCTGGCCAGGGGCGGCGGATACATATAGATCTCGTCGCCTGGACGGGGAGGGATGAAGACATTACTCCCTGGCCATCGCTCGAACGTCCATTCCCTGTGCTTTTTTCGGTGTCGTGCGTGGTTTTTTCGCCAAATGATCAAGGATTCTCCTCGATGCTCCTCGTCGAAGGAAAAATGCACACGTCCGAGCGATGCCAAGCTCTCAACTCACCCTCCTGGCGTCCGGAGGCACCCGAAGCCCCGCCCACCCCCCACCCCAAAACCGCGAGCGAGTCCTGCTGTAGCGCGACGTGTCGTAGGCGGCGTCTTTCAGGCGCTTCTCGCAGAACTCGACCGTGGTCATGGCCTGCCGAGGGAGACAAACCAGAGAGGGGTCAGGGTGCAAGGAGAGCGCCTCCTCCCTCCTGTTCCTCATCCCTCCTCCCTTTGCCCCCCTGCCAGTTCCTCCTCCACGACCATCACCTAAACCATCACTTTCACCACTACCACGATCATCATCATCATCATCATCATCATCATCATCATCATCATCATCATCATCATCATCATCATCATCATCATCGTCTTCATCATCATCATCATCATCATCAGCATCATCATCATCATCAGCAGCATCATCATCAACCTCATCATCATCAGAATCATCATCAGCATCACCATTAAACCATAATCATCATCATGGCCATCATCATCATCATCATCATCATCATCATCATAAGCACCATCATCATCACATCATCAGCATCAGCATCAGCATCAGCATCGTCATCGTCATCGTCATGATCATGATCATCATCATCAGCATCAGCATCATCATCATCATCATCATCATCATCATCATTACCATCATCATCATACTCAGCATGATCATCATCATCATCAGCAACACCAGCATCAACAACATTAGCATCAGCATCATCATGTTGGCGCACCTCCCGGTAACGCCATGGTCGCTCGTTCACTCATCACTACCAACATCAGCAGCATCATCACCACCACAACCATCATCATCAGCAGCAGCACCCACATGATACTCATCGAACCCCTCTTAATCATCAAACTAGAACAAGGCCGTGACAAATTCAAAGATCCTCTGAAACAGATACCCACACACAGCATGAATATGAGGTACACCGAAGCGTCAAAAGACGAGGTTCGAACAGAGATCAATTGAAGAAAATGGCAGACCCATACAATGCAATGCGAACCAATGCAAAGCGGTGAAGAGAGTGTTCAGAATGGAGTGCCCACACTGGTACCGCAATGCAGCGCAGCGCCACGGAAACTTATGCGAGCGCCATGCGGCGAGAACCATTGTAAACAAAAGCTTGCAAAGCAAATGCAAGGCAAGGCAATGCGATGCAATACAACTTAATTCAATGCAGAGCAATGCTCGCCAACGCAATGCCGTTTGCAGAGCCATGCCTGAGCACATCCGTAGGAAGGCAACCAAGTGAAAGACAATGCAATACAATACGATGCACAATAACGCAAGAGGCCGTACGACCCCGAGGGTTTCCGAACCTCAGAGATCCCAGGGATAAGGTATGCAAAATAAGTGGTGGATGCCCCTATTCCGCCGTCGGTAAACATTAATGTGACGCTAGCGCACCAGCTCGTCCTTCTCCTCCTCCCCCTCCTCCTCCTCTTCCTCCTCCTCCTCCTCCTCCTCCTCCTCCTCCCCCTCCTCCTACCACTCGCAATCGATCCTCCGGCCAGTCGGCAGGCCCTGGCCAGCGACCGTTTCGATTGCCACACAGACTTTTTCTGGGGAAGAAGAAAATCAACGACTTCCACTTCCCACCCCTCAGGATGCCACCAGGCAATAACTGTCACAGGTAGCCCCCAGTCTATCGGCCACGCGGCCGGGACAAGCTATATTTGTTATAAGGTGGCCTCGGGGTGGCAAGACTTGTCCGCTCGCATGCGGCGGTAGCCTGGAAGCCTCGTCAAGACCAATTCCTCTGAAGCCTAGAGCATTATCCGTGGGATCTGCATGTCCACCACCGGCTTTTCCTTATCCCACTGAGTGAGATTGTGTTGCATCTATTCCAATGCTATTCTCCCAGCGCAAAGCCTAGTCTGGCCTACTCTGGAACTGGTGGCAATTTCAGAGTCTGGGCTATCGTCTGTTCCCGCATTGTCCCTTTCAGCTCTGCGCTCGCGCTGCCATCTGTCTCAAAATCCCTGGGTTGCTAGCGGCAACGCCGCCTTCCAAAGATGCATTGCGAGGTGCTCACGATCTGGCTCAATACTTTTTAAACTTTCTTAGCATCGCGCTTGGAAAAGATCCCCGACAGAACGCGTTGCGAGGATCGGCAGCAACGCCGGCTCGTCACACGTTTGTCCATATACTGGGGGGATCGTCTTTTGGGAGCCTCTTGGGGCCTCTTTTGAGCCTCTTGGGGGCCTCTTGGGGCGGAAAGCTGGAATTGTCGATTCGTCTTCCCCCTCTTGGGCCTCTCTTGGGGCCGTCCCGAAGCCCTCTTGGGCCGTCTTAGGCACCTTTTGGGCCGTTTGGGGGTCCTCTTGGGCCGTCTTGGGGGCATCGTGGGCCCTCTGGGGACGAAGTTGGAGGCTTCTTGGGCAGTCTTGGAACGTCGGACTCTTGAAAACAGGGGGGCGCGAAAGACATGGAGACAAAGAACACGAACAATCCGTAATTTTCGCCTCTGGTGCCCTCTTGGAGGTGCGCTGTTGGGGCCTCTTGGGGGCCTCTTGCGCCATCATTGGGCCGTCTTGGTGGCCTGTGGGCGCCCGCTGCGGGCGCCGAGAAGGGCCCCGGAGGCGCAGGGGACGCCCTGGAGCGTTCGAAGAGGTCCGCCGGCGCCAGCGACGGAAGTGGGCTGCCAAGGGGGGGGGGGAATTCTTAAAAGGTAGGGGGCCCAAGGCCCGGGGCCCCTGACGCCCGTTATGTTAGATAGATTCGTCATCACCATCATCGCCGCTATCCTCCTTCCTTCCTCCTCCCTTGTCCACCTCCTTCCCCTGTCTCAAACTCCTCCTGAACTCCATCCTTCTCCACCTCCGCCTTCGTATGCTCTTCCCCCTCCTCACCCTCCTCCTCCTCCTCCTCCTGCTCCTCCTCCTCCTCCTCCTGATCCTCCTCTTCCTCCTCCTCCTCCCTCCCTCCTCTCTCCCCTTATCCCTCTTTCCGCCTCACCCTCATCATCCCCCTCGCTCGCCTCTCTGCGCACTCCCCCCCCCCCTCCCTCGCCCCTCGGTGTCAGGCAGCCCGCCTTCGACTGCAGCCAGACGTGGAAGAGCAGGAAGATCCCCACCTCGGGAACGCGCGGCAGGCACGGGAGGGTCAGAGGATGGAGGGGGACGGGGCGGAGGAGGAGAGGGGCACGGGGGGGGGGCAGAGAGGACGAAAGGGTTAAGGGAGGGCACGGGCACGGTGCGGAACCGAGGGATGCAGAAGCCTGGCCTCCCCTGGAACCGCAGCGGGGTCTGGCGGCGGGGCGCGGCAGCGCCCGGAGAGGCCGGCAATCTTCCTCCAACTCGCGCTCACGCCTCTGCAGCGCAAATCGTCTCAAGCCGGATCGAACGGTTCGAGCCGAGTCAGTTGCGGTGAAGCGACGGGGACATGAGAGGGCACAATAGGGGACAGGAAGGGCAAAAGATGGGTATCAGTGCAGAGCAGGGGACAGATCCAATCCGAGGGGCAAGATTTTCCTCACACGGCGGCGGCGGTGATAATTAGGGTGCCAGGCCGAAGCTCGAGATACTCCGCCTAAACACACGCACAAACACACAGACAACCACGCACAAACACACAGGAACAAACACACGTACACAAACACACACAGACACACACACACACATTCACTCTCTCACACACGCACACACACACATTCGAAGTGCAGATAGGGACCGACATCCCGCGCGGAAGCGATAAACCTCCCACCCAGCCCACGAGTCTCCTGGAAGCACAGGGGGTAGACCGTCGGAGCAAGGCGCACGACTGTGAGCAAGTAGGTATGTGCTTCAAGTGATCCCAGAAGGAAGCGAACCAAGAGTGTGCGTGTTCCAACTCACGATGGCAACATCCCCGTTCGGCACAAACTGTCGCATAGGCGCTGTGTCAGCACACGGAGTGGAGACCGAGGTAGTACTCGAAGACGCCGCGGAATGGCGGCGGTGAGTTAGGAGGGGAACTGAGAAGGGGCGGGCCTTTTGAGAAAGTTTGGCAGTGCCCCGGCCTTCTGAAAAGTGTTCTAAGCTTCCCCGAAGACGCAAAAAACTTCTGCGAAGGCGCGAGGGCCTCTGAAAAGTCCCGCCGCCTTCTGAGAGGGCCCCCTCGTTCTCCCTTCCCCCCCTCACTCGCGGCCGAGAACAACAATAGCGGGATGACCCTTCGTCCGAGGAAGACGAGGACGGACAGCCTGCACAATCGCCACCAGTTGCTGCTGGCCGCCGGTGGACAGATGCCACAAGAGCTGAGGTGGGGGGGCGCCGTATTCTTGTGGAGGCCATCTCATACGTCCAGCCATTCTCGTGACTGTCGGCGGCGAACCAGGGGGGGAAGTTCTGATTAGTTTCCAGGCCTTCCGCGAAGACGCAGAAAACCTCTGAGAAGGCGCGACGGCTTCTGAGAAGCCCCGCTGCCTTCTGAAAATGGCCTTTTCCTTCTCACTTCCCCCCTTCGCCGCCGAGACTGTTCTGTCGCCATCGGGGTGATGGCGCAAATCTCCTTCACCGAGATGCCTCGGGTTGACGATATTGAGCAAGTAGCCCTGGCTAACCTCACGAAAGATGGCCTCAACATTCTCTGCCAGGAACCGCATCGAGGCCGACTGCATCTGCTGCCCTTTTTGCGCTTGACAAAGACGATCGGGGCTCGGCCGCGGGAGCGCGGCTACGAATGCGACACAGTCGCTGGACGGGGTGATCTGGTCGAAGGTGCAGTACCAGTGTCGGGGAGACGTAAGACCCGGGTACGGGGGACTCGGAAATCCCCGACGAGGTCGTCAAAAAAATGACGAGGCCGAGCCTGCATTTTGACGAGGCCTCCCGCTGCAGACATCCCACGAAACTCCTCCTCGTCAAAATCCGAGTCGCGGTCGTCAAAAAACGATGGCGAACCCGAGTCCCGGCAAACCCGGGTCTTACGCTCCCCCGACAGTGATGCCGACGAGGGAACGATCGCGTTTCATGGGCGCTCGCCTTGGAAACACTCGGCGGCTCCTTTCGAGGGGGGCACACTGGCGCCGGCGCCGGCTCCAGCGCTGGCAGCGGCCCGCCAGCGCTGGCGCCGACGCTGGCGGCGGCCAGCAACGTCGACGGCAGACGCAGCGATGATGACCCGAGAGGGCCCAAAAGGAGGGGGGGGGCGTTCAAACCCCCCCCCTCCACCGACGTCGGCGCCGGCGCCGGCGCCAGCGCTGGCGGCGGCCAAAGCGCCGACCGCGGGAACGCAGCGACGATGACCAGAGAGGGCCAAGAGGCCGCAGAAGAGAAACACAAATCCCCATATCCCCCACAACAACCACCACCACTACCACCAACCACCACACCACCATCGCCGCCACAACCACCACCACCACCACAGCCAGCCACCACCACCACCACCACTACCCCCTGACCAAAAAGCCAAAACACGGTGGCGGGAAGACCCGAAGGACACACCACCACCACAAACCACCACCACCACCATCACAAGCCACCACCACAACCACCACAACCTACCACCACCGCCACCACAACCACCACCATCACCACAAACCACTACACAACCACCACCACCAAAACACAACCACCATCACCACCACAACCACCAACCACAACCCACCACAACCACCACGACCACCACCACCACCACAAACCACCACAGCACCACCAACACCGCCACTACCACCACCACCACAACCTACCACCACCACCACCACCACCACCGCCGCCGCCACAAACCACCACACCACCACCACCAAAACCACCACCACAACAAGCACCACCAATCACCACCCACCACCACCACCAAGAGCACCACAAACCGAAGCACCACCACCACCTCCAACACAGCAGCCCATCACCACCACCATCACCACCACAAACCACCATCACCACCACCGCCAACACCACTACAACCACCTCCACCACACAACCGACACCACCACAGCCACCAACACCACCACCAACACTGTCACCACCACAACAACCCAACACCACCACCACACCCACAACAACCCACCACCACGACCATCACCACCACATTCTACCACACCACCACCACCACAAGCAGCACAACCCACCACCACCACCACCACAAACCACCACAGCCACCACCACCACAGACCACCACAGACCACCACACGATAACCACCGATGCAAACCACCACACCATCACAAACCACCACCACTGCCACAACCACCACCTCACCACCAGAACTGCCACCACCATCACCTTCACAAACCACCACACCACCACCACCGCCACCACCACAACCACCAGCATCACCTCCACAACCCACTTCCACCACCACAGCCAACACCACCACCAAAAGCCACCACACCACAACCACCACCACCACCACCACCACCACCACCCACCACCACAACAAACCCCACCACAACAAACCACCATTCCACCATCACCACCGTCATTACCGCCACTACCACCACAACCCACCACCACCACAACCACTACCACCACCACAACCACCACACCACCACCGCCACCACCACGACCGCAAACCACCACCACACCCACAGCAACCCACCACCACAACCACCACAACAACCACCACCACCACCAACCACCACACCACCACCGCCACCACCACCACCGCCACAACCGCCACCACCACCACCATCACAGCCCACCACCACCACCACCACCACAGAGAGCCCCCAAGAAACGTCCAAGAGGCGCCCAGGAGGCAAATGCCCTTCAGAGGCCCCCGAAGGCTCTCCAGAGAGACCCCGGAGAGGCATCCGTTAGGACCCTGACCCAAAACCAAGGCACAGTGGCGGAGCATCGTCGTCGTCATCGTCGTCATCGTCGTCGTCCTCGTCGACGCTCCCCGCCGCCGCCGCCGCCAGCCGCCGCAGGCGCCGGCGCCAGCCCAGAAAAGGAAGTCGTCGTCTTCACCGACGCTCCCCGCAGCCGCCGCCAGCCGCCGCCGACGCTGGCGCCAGCCCGAGGAGAGGGAGAGAGGAGAAGTAGGGGAGGAGGGGAGCGGGAAATGGGGGGTGTCGAACCCCCGCCCCCCCCTCCATCACGGAAGGAGGGGGGGAGGTTCTCGACCCCCCCCTCAATCCAGGGTGGGGGGGTCCGGTTCCAAAACCCCCCTCCTGCAAGCGCCCACAGAAGGCGCTCTTCGTCCGACGAGGGAGAGAGGGAAGACGGGCGGGACGAGAGCGAGGAGCAGGGCGGCAAAGGAGGCGGAGCAGGAGGGCGAGGCCAGGCGGTCGCGTGAACTGCCGCGGCCCCCCGCCCGACAGTGACGCCAGGGCGCCCCGAGCGCCCCTCGAGCTCGCAACGGCTCGCGCCCCCCAGGGGTGGGCTGGCGCGCGGGGGCGCGACCTCTGCGTCGCCGCGGGCCCGACGGGGCCCGCGCGCCGCGCGCAGCGGGGCCTCGCGAGGCGCCGCCGCGAGGGGGCCTTGTCGGCCCCGACAAGTGCGCCCCGTGCCAGCCTGGCGCGCCGAGCCCTGGCCGGCCAGGGGGGAGGAGGAGGAGGATCGAGAGGGAGGAGGGAGGGGGAGGGGGAGGATCGAGAGGGAGGGAGGAGGAGGAGGAGAAGGAGGAGGAGGAGGAGGAGAGGAGGAGGAGGAGGAGGAGGATAAGGGGGAGGAGGAGGAGGGGAGGAGGAGGAGGAGGAGGAAGAGGAGGAGGAAGAGGAGGAGGAGGAGAGGAGGAGGAGGAGGGAGGAGGAGGAGGAGTAGGAGGAGGAGGGAGGAGTAGGAGGAGTAGGAGGAGGAGGAGGAGCTGCCAGAGCCCGCCCCCAGACACCAGCACTGCCAGGAACGTGGCGAAGGTCTCCGCGCCGATGAGCCAGGCCATGGTCGCGACGTTCACGTCGACCCTGGAGCCCCGCAGGCCCGGGGGGCGGCAGGGCAAGGAGGGGGTGGAGGCACCACCGGGCGAGCGAGAGGCATAAGCGAACCAAGGGGAATTTCGAGGCCACCCCGATTGTCAGGTGAAGCTGCGTCCATGCGGCGTTATCCCAAAGCGGAGACCGAGCACTCCGCATGGACCTACTTACTCCGTATGGGCTCAGCATCCTACAAGGACAGGCAAATAAATCTGGACGGAGTACAGTCGGGATTGATTGGACAGGACACGCGATAGGACGCAAGACCCTTCCGAGGGCCACATTGCCATAGAAATGTAGGAGGCACGGGTCGCGACACACAGGGCACAAGGGTACCCTTGATTGACCTACTAATCGACCTCGACTGTAAGCCCAGACGGGGACCGAGCACTCCGTATGGACTGAGTCCGCAGTCACGTAGCATCCGCTGAGATCGGGCTCGCGCGCCACGGCTCCACCGCTGCCGCCTGGGTGTCCGTTCGCCCTCCCCCTCCACGCGCGGGTCGGCCCGCCCGCGTCCCGTGGAGACTACTTCGGGGCAGTGCCCCACCCATAGCGTTGAGTCGGGCCTGTCCCCCTACAGGGGGATTTTCGACATGCAAAATACACCAAAAATACCCCCAAAATGTCAACAAATATTCAAAAAATAGTCCCCAGACTATTTTTGGAGCATGTTTTGATTATTTTGGGGGTATCTCTTATTTTTCGCCAGGAACCCTTCTCGTTGGGGAGGGTCTCCGCGTTCCTTACGTGTGTTTCACAGCTTGCCTCAGGTTTTCCTTCGGTTGTCGATCGGAAATCGAAGTTTAACTCATGGAAAAAAGGGGCCTCGTTCCTTAGTTAGGGTTCCTTAGGTCAACGCCCCGACTGTAGCCAAACGGGGGCTCGGGCTTCTCCATACACCCCCGTGCACTGTACCCCCATCTCCGGCGCCCGGGGCCCCCTGCACGGGGGCACAGGCCAACGTGGACAATGGCGTGTCCCCGTGCCCCCGTCTGCTGTACCCCCGCCTCCGGCGCCCTGAGTTTTTTTCCAGACGGGGTCTCCGGGACCGCGCCATGGGACACCCCACCACACCTGCTGCACAGACACGTCACCTCCCGCCCTGAGAGGCCGACTCGCTCGGCGCTCGTAGCCGCGGGGCCTGACAAGCTCTGGCTCATCTAACCGTTGCGATCCATCGCTTTTTTGTGATCTCTCTCTCTCTCTCTCTACTCCACTCTTCCACCCTACCTTCCTCCTCGTTCATTCCATAACATGTGTGTAGACGCATTCACGTATACCGCGGTATGCATACTTGTGAACTCATGCACGTGGTTTCAGGCATGTAAATAACGATTGGAATGAATGAGACCAATGGTGAAATCATCGATCGCATCCCATACTCGTGTATTCAACGCGCTACCGTGCTTGATGTACGGGCGTGTAGCCTTTACGACGGACAACGATGCCGTGTACGACTTCTAGTATGGCTACCCAACAACTCGTATGGGCTGTCTTGTCGGTAGCCTGCCATATATTATTCATATTGCTCGTATTCTACACCACTGCTACCCCAAAGAAAAAAAAGGTGTGAAACACACCAGTAGACTAGGTTCACACGGGGAGCAAGGATGGAGCAGAGCAGAAGCAGGGCAGGAGCTGAGTAGGAGAAGGGTAGGGGAACAACAGAGAGGTAGGAGTCGAGAGGGATGAAGGCTACCACAGAGCGAACAATGCAATAAACCGCATGCAACGCTTGCGCAACAAACGAACTCACACGTGGTGTGCATGCGCATCCGATATCGCCAACAGCACGCAAGCTCGTGCGAGTTCAGCGAGCTGCCAGATTCTCGGGGGCCCACAGAGGTCTGGGACTCCTCGGCTGCTGAGGGCGAACCGTAGCAGAGCAAGAACAATATTTGACCCGTGGTCAGGGCCATGTCCTCGCACAGCGAAGCCCGCCTGCACATACCACGAAGAAAAAATGTGTAACACTCCAACCATCATAACTGCTGCCGCGATTTCGCTGCGATTATTCATCGCAGTCTCCTTGTGGACCACCAGACCGTCTCGAACATGGTGGTACAAATGAAGACGAGGGCTACCTGAGAGTAAGTGACAAGCAAGAAGAACAGCTTGTAGTTCCTGCGCGACGCGATCATCCCAATCCCTGCTTGGATCAACTGGGAACCGAACGTATCAGCGTATCAAGATGTGCACCCGGAACCCTACCGTTGTCCATCCCGACCGGTTCTTCGAGCTGCGCCCAGCCGTCACGACGAGAACCTCCAGAAGCGGAACAACAAACACGGAACGAAGACGCAAACGACGCCGTCATCGTCGGCACATCACCACTGACCCCTGCGTGCCGAGCAGGGGCTCGACAACACCGGCGCGCGGCCCGCCGATCAGGCTTGGCGTTGCTTGCAACAGCGACGACAGTACAGCGATCGTGCCACCACAAAAGCGCTGCATACTCCGAATACCTGGTTGATCGACCCCCCTAAAAAACCGGACCCCCCTCCAAACGCGACCCAACATTCCGGACCCCCCTCTTCGACGGGGCGCCTTAATAAAGCGGACCCCCTAGGCTCCAATCCAAAGAAAAAGCCCTGACAAACCGGACCCCCCCCAGTTACAAAAGAGGAGCCTTCACAAACCGGACCCGGGGGACGATTAAGAAGGGACTTGGGGTAAGGGGCGAAGGGGCGTTTCTGGCCACGGCGAGCCGGCGAGTCTGCGCACGAGCAGGTCGCCCGACCTGGTTCTCCGAGGAGAGGCCCGAAACAACGGAGCCCCTCCTGCATCGAGGGTGGCCCTTCTTTGCCAGCGCCAGGGGCTCAGCGGCGACAAGTCTTAAGGGGCTCTGGGACAAAGAAAAACACACAATAACAGGGTTCCCTATATTTTCTTATATTTTCTGGGTTTTTGTCTTCCCCCCCACTTCCCACATTTTCCTATATTTTCTGGAGAATCAGCGATTCATTGTGTGTGTGTTTTTCCCCTTCTTTGCCAGCGTCAGGGACTCAACGGCGACGAGTCCGGGAGGCAAGAAAAACACCGACACGGGGGGCCAGGTCGGGCCAGGCTTGCGGTGGCGAAAGGCGTGAGAAGGGCTGACTACCTACCAGACCACCCCAACCCAACCCGAAGATCCGAATTTCGGGTTGGGGGGGGTAAGGGTTCCACGCGTGTTTTTTCGATGTTTCCCGACCCCCCCCCCCACTAGAAATCGAGGGTAAATCTGAGGCTTCGGGTTGGGTTGGGGTGGTTTGGTGGGTGGTGAAGGGCAGGATCGAGGGTCGAAGAATTGCACGCTGCCGAACCGTGATGGGACACTTCGTGCACTCAGCATGGCGGGGGACAGCTCAGAATTGCGGCAGGCAGTGTTGTCAGCATCGGCCGCGTCATGGGACGCAGGGGTTCAAGACTTTTGAAGACTGCTGACACGTGGTGAGTATCTCCTCCTCCTCCTCCTCCTCCTCTTCTCCTCTTCTCCTCCTCCTCCTCCTCCTCCTCCTCCTCTTCTCCTCCTCCTCACCATCCCCTCCCCCCCCTTCGTCCCCCGACGTTTCCAAACGCCTGCTGCGTGGCCCACCGCCCGGCACTGGCAAGTGGGCAGCAGTGTCTGGCGACTGGTGCGCCTCGGTGTACGCAGCCGTGCATGCGTCTGTGCGTCTGGCTTCGCGCTCGCTCCCTGTGCGCATTTTCTCGCAAAGGGTCGCCTGGCCAGCCCATGCGCCGTCTAGCTGCGGCCATCTCCCGGTCCAATGCAGGAAGACAGTCGGGGCGCTGACCTAGAGAACCCCAAATATGGAACGAGGCCCCTTTTTTCCATGAGTTAAGCTTCGAATTCCGATCGGAGACCTGCGGAAAACCTAGGGCGAGCTGCTAAACAACCAAGGAACACTGAGCCCCTCCCAAACGAAAAGGGTGCCTTCTTCAGCGCCCCGACTGTAGTTAGGCTACATGCAAGCGTGACCCTGGGCCGTATGGGTAGTACTAGGCAAGACCCCTGCTGCTCTGCAAGACCGCTGCATGCGGCAGCAGCGACCTGCATGCGTGGGTTGGGCCCCCACGCGCCGCGCCCCTCGAACACCGCTCGCCGGGAGGCCACTCCCGCGAAGGCTCACCCCCACTTGGGCGCCCGAGTTATCCGGGGTAACTCGGGTCCGGGGTAAGTCGGGTTTGGATTCCCGAAAAAAGGAACCCGAGGTAGCCCTGACCCGAGTCACCCCTGATGATGTGGGGCCCTGGACGCCCGAATCATCCGGGGAAGCTCGGCCCCAGGGTAACTCGGGTTCGAACTCCCAGAAAACGAACCCGAGTTCACCCTGACCCGAGTCAACCCTGATGATTCGGGGCTCTGACTCGCGTGCAACCGAAACAGGACGTCGGCGAAACCCCCACCCTCCGACACGACGATCAGCGACCCCAGGCCGGCAAGCGGCCCGCGCCCGACGACCAAGCGACAGGGCGACCTGGCGACCCCATCGGCCCAGGGACCCCCTGGCGACCCAGAAGCCTGGCGTCGCGGCCACTCGGCGACCTGGCGACTCGGCGGCCCAGCGACCGAGCGGCACGGCGGCCCGGCGAAGCGAGCCAATGACCGTGCGGCTCAGGGATGGCGATGAAGAAGGGGAGACCACGTGGGGACTCCTGAGGAGGGGTCTTTGGACGGGAAGGTGCACTGCAGCATCGTTGTTGCATCCTGGGTCCTGAGTCTACTCTGGTGCTTCTCCTCCTCCTCCTCCTCCTCCTCCTCCTCCTCCTCCTCCTTCCCCTTATCCTCCTCCCCTCCCCCTTATCTCCTCCCCTTCCCACCTCCCTCTCCGAGGAGGCGGAGGCGGAGGAGGCCAGGCGGACGAGAAGGGGAAAGGGTAGCAAGGCGAAACCGAAAACGCGAAAACCGAGAATCCAGAGCGAAACCCGGAAATCAAAAACATGCGCGAAACCCGAACATCCCACCACAGGCAAAACCCGAAACGCCGACCGAACCCGAACCCGAAATCCGAGAATGGCCAAGCCCAACACTCCAGTTCAGACCAGCCCCGCCTCGCCCCTCCTCATTCTTCCTTGCGCCCCCCTCCTTCCCCCTCCTCGTTCGTTCTCCACCTTTCTTAATCGTTCCTCCCCGTCCTCCTCATCCTCCTTCCGATCTTCCCACCTCCCCCTCCTCCATCCTTATTCTTCACCTTCTTGCTCGTCATCCCACTCCTCCTACCCTCCTCCCCTCCCTCCTCCACCTCCCTACTCCTCCTGCCTCTTGCCTCCTCTCCCTTCTCCGCCCTCCTCCCTCCTCCATGCTCCCTGCTCCCTCCTCCCTCCCTCCTCTCTCTCCCCCTCCTCCTCCTCCTCCTCCTCCTCCTCCTCCTCCTCCTGTTCCCTCCGCCCTCCTCCCTCATGCCTCCTCCCTACTTCCCCCCCCTCCCTCCTCATGCCTCCCTCCTCTTCCCTTCTCTTGCATCCTCCCTCGTCTTCGTACTCGGCACGCGGCAACGCCAGCGGTGCGGGAACTGAAGCTATTCCACTCTAAGCCACGTGCCGAACGCCTGGGGGGGCGAACAAACATGCTACTCCACTCTCCTCGCGACGTGGCTACGCCTGCGGGACGGACATACATAATATTCCACGCGATTTGCCAAGTGGAAACGACTGGGGAGCGAAACACAAACTACTCAACTCCACGACTCGCCACGTGGCAACGCCTACGAGGCGGAACACATATATTTGTTCACTCTACTCGCCACGTGGCAACACAAGAGGAGAGAAACAACTACTGCTCCATTCTCTTTCCCGAGTGGCAGCGCCCTCGGGTTGGAAACCCAGACTACTCCACTGTATTTACCACGTGGCAGCGCCTGCGGGGCGAAGAAGACTTACTCCACTCAGCTCAGCACGTGGCAACGAAGCGGGGCGGCAACACATGCTATTGCTCTCGACTCGCCACATGGCAACGTCACGTGGCAAGGCCTGAGAGGTAAACAAACAGACTATCCACTCCACTCGCCACGTGGCAACGACATAGGGTGCGAACAAGAAGTACGAATCCACTAAACTCATCACGTGGCAATGCCGCGAGGGCCGAACATATACAATCACACTCTACTCGCCACGTGGTAACGTGTGGGAACTCGCCACTCGGCAACGTGTGTGTGTGCGTGTGGGGGGTACGAAGCAAATATCATATCCTATCTTATTCGCCACGTAGCAACGCCGCGGGGCGGGAACACATAGAGCGCTACTCCGTTCGCAACGGGGCAGAGCAGCGACAGGCCCGCGAACAAAAAAACAATACGATGTTGCGCGCAACGTTGCCAAACCGCACAATAAAAAAACAACCACTCGACTGCAGTCGACTGGGCAACGCCGAGGACGCGAACGCCAAAATCTATTCGGCACGTTGCTCCAAACGCGGACGACGACGAGGACGACAACAACGACGACCACGACAACGGACGACGATGACTACGACGGGCGACGATGACGACGACAACGATGACGACGACGACAACGACAATGACAACGACAATTACAACGACAATGGAAACGACAATGACGACGACGACACCGAGAACCACGACGACGACGAAGACGAGGAGGACGACGACGACGACGACGACGACGACGACGACGACGACGACGACGACGGCGACGCCGCAGCCGCCGCGGCCAGCGCCGCTCGCCCGCCTGGCCACCAGTCCGCCCGCCCGCCCGCGCGCTCGCGCCAGCTCGCGCGCCACGTGGCGACGCCCAAGGAGCGAAACAGAAAATTGCTCCACTCTGCGCGTGGCAACGCTCGGAGGGGGGACCACATACTGCTCCACTGCAAGTGCTCGTCACGTTGCAGCGCCTGGGCACGTGGAAACGGAGCGGGCTGGGAACACATGCTGCTCCACTCCGGCCACCACATGGCAACGCCACGTGGCAAGACTTGAGCGGCAAACAAAAATATACTTCACAGCTCCACTCGCCACGTGGCAACGACACAGGGTGCGAACAAGAAGTACAGTCAAAAACCCTAATAAGGACGCGCGGTAAGGACGCAAGACCCTTGGAAGCCGAAGTTGGGACTTTTGGGGCGGCGGACGACGAAAACCTCAAGGACGCAAGAGCAAGGAAGAGCAAGGACGCAAGGGTACCCTGAGCAAAGTCGCGCGTCCTTATTCGGGCTTTTGACTATATCAATCCACTCAAATCATCACGTGGCAATGCCGAGCGGACCGAACATGTACAAATCTCACTCTACTCGCCACGTGGCCACGCCTGGAGAGCGAAATCAGAGCATCCATTCGGCTCGCCACGCAGCAGCGCCGTGGGGCGGGAACAAATACAACGCCACTCCTCTCGGAACAAGGCGACGACAAGCCGGCAATAAACGACGAGTATGTATCTCAAACCGACCGTAAAAACCGCAGAAGCCACAAACGGACCACGCTTAGATACCCGATGGGAAGCACCACTCGCAGACGCGCTATCCAGAATCCAAGCGGCCCAAGAAATCCACGTGCCTCTCAAATGCCCTTGTAGGTCTCCTACCCTTGGCTGCTTTGTCCTACCTCCTCCTACGTCCACCAGCCTCCTCAAGCTGCACCCTGGCTCGTCCTACCTCCTCTTCCCTGCTACCATCTCCTGCCCCCTCCAAATCCTCCGACCTCCTCCTGCCGCCCACTACCTCGCCCTGCCTTCTTCGAGACACCCTCCTCAACTTTCTAGGTCCCCCCAGCTTGTCGGATCTCGCCCCTCCTGGAGTTTCGGGTTTGGGCCTCTGGCGTGTTCGGGATGCGCCCCTGTCAGAGCTTCGGGTTTGGCCCTGCTCGTTTTCGAATTTCGGGCGTACTTCCGGGTTCGAGCTGTTTCCGAGGGGGAAGTGGCGGACCCTGGAGGAGGGGCCCGAGTCCTCAGGAGCCAGAGGAGCTCGAGGAGTGGGACGAGGAACAGAAGGCCCATGACAGCCAGAGGGCGACCCACGCGGAGGACGTGAAGGTGCGGGAGGGGAAAGAGGAGAGCGAGGATGCGGAGGAGGAGCGCGAGTGCTCCTGAACCCCACGCAGTTGTGGATCCATGGGCAGTGGTGGTCCATGCGCAGTACGCATTTGCCGCATATGCGGCAGTGGTGGCACCTGCGGCCCTCCTCCTCATGCAGCTCCTCATCCTCCCTCATACTCCTGCCGCACCGCCTTGTCGTCCGCATTCCTACTCCTTTTCCTCATGAGAAGCAGCGCCTTAAAGTTCGCATTTCCTCATTCTCATCCAAAGCTTGACACTCGCGGTCGTTCTCACCATTATCAGCAGCATTGCATTCACTGTCGTCATCACCATCGCCATGATAATCCGTATCGTCGCCATTGTCAACATGTTTGGCAACAGCAGTGTTCGCGTCATCGTCATCACCGTCACAATCGTCATCACAATCATCGTCATCACCATCATCATCATCATCATCAGCATCACCATCATCATCATCATCATCATCATCATCATCATCATCAACATCATCATCATCATCATCAACATCATCATCATCATCATCATCATCATCATCTGCAACATCATCATCATCGTCGCTATCAAGATTAGCATCGTCATCGTCGTCGTACCGATGTTAGCGGTACAGCCATGAGCATAGTCATCAACAACAGCAGCAGCAACCATGCAAACAACATCAGCATCAATATCGTCACCAGCATCACGATAATATTATAAGTATCATCACCACCTTCGCCAGCAGCAGCATACTGATCATCATCATCATCATCATCATCAGCAGCATCATCATCGTCGTCGACATAATCCTCCCTCCTCCTCCTGATCCTCCTCCTCCTCCTCGGCATCATCAGTATCAGCATCACCATCATCACTACCAATCATCACCATCAACAGCAGCACCATCAGCATCACCATCATCATCACCATCATCGCCACCATCATCAACAACATCAGTATCACCATCATCAGCCTCATTAACATTATCATCAACAGCAGCAGCATCATCATCGACGCCATCGGCATCGGCGTCATCATCGGCACCAACAACAGAAAGTGCAGCAACAACCACATCATCATACTCATGATCATACAATCAACTTCATCAACATCGTATTCAATTGTATAGCCATGCTTATCGACACCGGTATCTTCACATCCACCACCACAACCACCGTCATCATCGCCATCATACATCGCCATCATCAACATCGCCGTTGGCAATACCGCAATGGACATGACCAGTATCGAGATCATCACCGTTACCACCACAAGTAGGATCATCAGCTTCACTACCATCATCAGCCTCTCATTATCAACATCATCGCCACCACCAGAACCCACCGTCTGGCACACAGCGACATGCACCAACGCCTCCCTAGTTGGCTCGCATTCAGACCAAGCGAGAGACGGCCCAAGTTCGCAAAGCTGCAAAGCTGTCAAACTGCCAGGGCTGACAGGCACCTGATTGTGGCCTCGTGGGCGACCCAAGGCCTCCAGTTTCAGCTCTAGTCCTACCTGGTGCGCGGTGGATCAGTGCATGTCCAGCTGGCACGGGCTCAACGTCATCGTCATCATTACAGCTTGGGTTTAGGGGCGTACAAATGCCCATGAAGTCTTGGGCGTTCGGTGAGTCTAGGGCTTGGACCTGTCCAGGCCAATGGCATGTGACCATGGTTTGCCATCATAGTTCACCGAACTGCGTGGCGCTATGCCATGCCGCGGGCAGACGGCGGCCTCCCAAGTCTCGTCGCAGGCACCACGCGGGCATCCGCGCGGGGCGCCGCACGGGCATGCCACCGTGCCACCACGCGGAACGGGTTATGTCGAACGAAAAATCATTCAGCAACCGCGAGGGGGGGAGCAACAGGGGGGACCCCCCCCGCCCACCCAGCGCGCGAAAGGGGCAGGGAGGGGGGCGAAGCCCCACCCCGCCGCCGCCTGCCCCTTCTGCACACCATGGGCGCAGAGGAGGCCAAGGAGAACCACCTCACTCCCGCCACGCAAACCCCCCGCCCGCCGCCCCCCCCCCCCCCCGGCACTCTGAACCCCACTTATCTCCGTCCCGCACAAAAGGCCCCCCTCGCCCCCCCCTCGCCTACCCCATTTGGTTGTGTCTCCTGCAGGGGGTATATGCCGCCCAGCAGTTAGTTAGCCTTTCGAGTGAGTGTCGTCACATCGTCGAAGGTAGTCGCATCGTAAGAATTACTGGATCCGTGTGCGGCAGGGTTTATGGCCCACGGTTCACAGCAAACCCGCACTCCGTACGCGAAATGTGGCGGGGTCTGTCCTGTGCGCTGTGTAAGGGCCATCTAGTAACCGGCATGGCCGTCTTATCCGTAACTCCAGAACTCCTCCTGCTTCTCCTCCTCGTCAATCCTCGTCCTCCTCCTCCTCCCCCCCCGCGTCCTCCTCCGCGTCCTCAGCCTCTTCATCCAGGCCGTCATACTCATCGTCCGCCTCCTCCTCCTCCTGCTCCTCCTCCTCATCATCATAATAATCACGGAATAATAATCATAATAATCATCATCATCACTATCATCACTATCATCATCATCATCATCATCATCATCATCATCATCATCATCATCATCATCATCATCATCATCATCATCAGCAGCAGCAGCGTCAGCAACATCATCATCATCATCATCATAATCATCATCATCATCAGCATCAGCATCAACATCATCATCATCTTCTTCTTCCTCCTCATCCTCCATCGTTCTGCATCATTCTTCCTCCTCATCATTACACTCCTCCCTCCTGGCGCCTATCCGGCTTGAACCTGAGGCACCACTTGCAGTGCCGCTGCTGGCCACTCCTCTTGAACTCCGTCAGCGAGCCCCTGCCAGAGGGGGAACCGAAGAGGAGCAGGAAGGGGGAGACGGAGAGGAAGAAGGATGAAAGAGGAGGAGGAGGAGGAGGAGGAGGAGGAGGAGGAGGAGGAGGAGCAGCAGGATGAGAAGGAGCGACGACCATAGCCATGTTGGCTCAAGCTTGAACCCCCTGTCGAGGGGACTCGACCTTGTGGTTTCCGCCGCCGTTCGACAACCATCGAGGGGGCACCGACGCATTCCCCCCATCCAGATCAAGGCAGTTCCCTGCCACTGCAGAACTGTGCCTCCCTCCTTCCACGCATGACCACGGACGGAAGGGACCGGGCGGGGGACAGACCGCCGCCGGTGAAAGATGGAGGTGTTACAGAGGCGGGTGCGGGCAGAACCTCCAGCACTGGACGTGGTGCGCACGTTGTGGATAGGAGCGAGCTGAATCTCCCCCGCTGCGACCGAAGAAGGTGGAACAGATCAGCACCAAAGAGTGAAGGACCAGGCGAAGACACCACCCAGGTCGCGGTCTAGGACCTCCAGGCATCGCCACACAGGTGCACGATGAACCCACCGCGGACAACTACAAGGACGAGATCGCCCAGCGAGCCCGTGAGAATACATCGGCTGCGTCTCCTACTCGAGCCCTGCCTGAACTCGAGTGGCTGAGGTCTCCCTGTAAAGGATACCCGTGGCATATGCATGCTTCGCACCACCTCTGCAGGAATCGCGGGCTGCGGCATCGCACCAACTGCGGAAGGGAAGGCCCGGCTCTGACCCCGAGCGGGCCCGGTGTCGGGCGCGGCCAACGAGGGGGGTGTCCAAGAGGGGGGGGTGCAAATCACGACCGGCGGCATGTGCCCGGCCCAGCAGGGGGGGCCAGGGACGTACTGAAATAAGAAGAGGCGGCATGAAATCTGGGGAAATGTCATGGCCCCCGCCGTGATGTCCCCCCCCCCCCCCCTACCTAGTCATCACACCCCTCTTTTCCGCCCCCGACCAGAGGCAGGGCGCTGCCTCCTGAGGGTGGGGGGGGGGCCCCCTCGGAACGACGACGGCGAAACTGACGACTCTGGGGGGGGGGGGGCGCACTCGAGACGGGAGGAGGCTTGACTTAGGTCGGGCCTGCCCCCCTAGTCACCACCCCCCTCTTTGCCGCCCCCGACAGTGCAAGGCCCGGGCCCACCCGTGCAGGCAAGGCGGCGCTCGCCCGTCTTGTCAGGGACAGGCCCCCCCCCACCCCCCCAAGCGGGCCTCCTGGCCCGATGGGACCAGCTCGCCATCGCTCGGACGTCCACTCCCTGTGCTTTTTTCGGTCTCGTGCGTGGTCGTTTCGCCCAATGATCAAGGATGCTCCTCGATGGCCCTCGCCGAAGAAGAGAAATGCACACGTCCGAGCGATGCCAAGCCAGAGGGCAGGCAGCCGTTCTCTTTCCTGTGTGCCCCTTCGCATATGGAGGACATCGCCCCCATGACTTGCCCCGGAGGAGGAGGAGGAGGAGGAGCGACGACGATGATCAAGAAAACAGCGACGGCGATGTCGATGGCGACGGCCTGAAGCTCAGACATCGCAACTGCTTGATGGCGTGACCCTCAAAATGGACGTCGCTTAACTCGCCACTCCCGACCCACTACTCACTACTCATTACCCACTACCCCCCACTCCCTACAAACTACTACTTACCCAAACGCACCACTCAACACTCACACCTCGCTCCTCACAACTCACTGTTCTCTACTCACGACTCAATACTCACTACTCACCAAACACTACCCAGTACTCACTACTCACTACCAACTACTGCCTACTCACTACTCACTACTCGCTACCCCCTACTCAATACTCGTTTCTCCTGCTCACTTCTCACTACACACTACTCACTACTTCCTACTCGCCACTCCTTACTCGATGCTCACTACCCAATACTCACTGTTCACAGCTCACTACCCACTACTCACTACCCACTACTCACTACCCCACTCCTTTCTCGCTGCTCACTACTCTCTAGTCGCTGCTCCCTAGTCGATACTCATAACTCAGTACTTAGTACTCACTACTCACTACCCGCTACTCACTACCCACTACTCACTACTCATTACTCACTTCGTCCAATTCCCTACTCACGACTCACACCTCACTACTCACCAGTCACTACGCACTACTCGCTCTTTTTCTGCAGCTTTCGCTGCCCCCCCATTCATCGCCCCCCCCACTCTGGCCATCACTCGGACGTCTATTTCCCGTGGATGTTTCGCTGTCGTGCGTCGTGTGTCTGTGCTCCTCGATAGGC